GTTCTGTGGTTTATTTGGGCTGTTCATGTTGCTTTTAATCATTAAACTATCTTAGAAACATGGCCGAACTACTTTCTGGTGTTAAGATTCAACTTAAGGATGGGAGTCAAGTTGATGCAGGGGACTATCTCAAAGGAAAGGTTCGCTTCTTTGCATACGGTCTACAATCTAAATTCAAATAATGGCATTTTCATCAACAAATCTTGCATTTCTCTTTTTTGTTGAATGAACTCGTTTTTAGATGGTTGGTCTCTACTTTTCGGCAAGTTGGTGTCCTCCATGCCGTGCCTTTACTCCTAAATTAAAGGTATCCTTTTTATCACATTTTGTTCCTATCTGACAACTTTAGCACATTACCTTGTCTCACTTGAAGATTAGGGAACAAATGCTTCTACAATCACAGGGCTTCAGGAACTCTTAGAGATTTGAAAATATGAGTGAGGTCCAAAATGTAACTGAGCTCAATTGCTGTTATGTAATGAAGCTCGTTGTACATATTTTTTTGTAAAAACGTCGGAAGTGGTGTGCTTACTCTTTAGAATCTCCTTATGCTTGAGTCTATATTGGGAAATTAGCACTTGAATATTCGGTGAGCTACTAAAGGAATAGTTTCCTAGAAGTAGTTACAAAAAAGTTCTTTTGAATTTTTTTGTGCTTCTGTTCAACCCTCTCATCATTTAACCTAGTGTATTTCAAGAACTTATGGTGCGGAATCATCCTGATATCGTTACCTCAGGTATTTTTCTTCAGCGGTCAAAGATTTTGAAACAAACTGATTACGTATGGATTGATCAGTTTACTACCATGGAACGAGGACAACGAAAAAGTCTATAAAGTTTGATAACATGTCATTTTTTAGAGATTCTATGAAGCAATCAAAGAAACTCATCCGAAATTCGAGATCGTACTAGTATCTCGCGACAAGGAAGCAGATGAACTTTTTGAATACTATGATGAGCATATGGGTGACTGGACTTTTATCCCATTTGGGGATCCTAAAATCGAGTCAGTTTTTCTTTTCTCGGAGAATATATCTTCCAGCAAAATTCGTTTCCACCTTTACTATGCTATATTTTCTTTCAGAGAGTTACTAGAAAAGTACGAAGCTCGAAGTATACCGGGAATGAGAATAATTAGGCCGGATGGTAGCGTTGTTGTGAAAGACGCCCGCCAAGAAATCCAGGTTTGCTTCATTTATCCGTACTAACTTTATTATTGATACCAGCGCTTAACCTGTCTCTTAAAACGGCTTGCATTAGTTTTTATCTCCTAAATAAGAAACTAGCAAATGTCACTATGCCCCCGCCAATTCTGCTTATTGCAAATACAATAAACAACTACCGCATTCGCTTTAGAACTGCAATGTTTACATATGCAGAGGTATTTGCAATTACAAATAGCATCTCTTTACCTCTGGTGAAACGGCAGATTTGTAACAAGGAAAATACAGACATAAGTACATGCACACAAGATAAAGTATGTTTTTTGTGAGTGAGTTATTTTCGCTGGAAAGTTGAGTAAAGTTTGATTGTTTAAATGATTTATATTTCAACATAGTTTCGTTATTATGTAATTAGTGCTATGCTTGGTCATTAGTTGAACAATATTTAGAAAAGGATAGAACAGTAATGATTACAAGTTTTAGGAGAAGGCTGCCGACGATCCAGAAGCGCTGTTTGAAGAGTGGGAAGCGTTCTACATGTAATTATTCAATATCAACATTTGGCATACCTGTGAATCACATATACCTTTTAATACCAGTAACGATTAATGCAATAACTTTAATGCTCAATTTGTCTGTTTACTTCTCGACTCGTATGCATCTGATTAAGAAATAAATAATCACATTGATACTTTTGCTATAGTCTGGCTAAATTAGTACTTTCAGAAGCTAAACTAAAAGCTTAATCTTGACAGAATCTTTTCTGACCCTTTGAGCCGAAATTGTTGCGTAATTACCGCATTATTCTCAAATATTAATTTGGACATCGCCAAAGAATAAACGTTTTAGTGAGTGATTATATTACAGATTCTCTCTTTTCTACTCACCGCGACAAAAAAAGACAGCTCACGGAAAGTACCATCAATATTTCTTTGTTTTACGCGAATGCAGTACCTATGGGCTGTTAATTTATTGTGAGGTACACACATGCTTAGAAGTCAGACTTCTGAGGTTTGCGTTATGCAAGATAATGTACTCTATATTATGCTCTCTCTGTATTTGTGTTGTTTACACTTCTGATTCAAAGGTCATTCTCAGACACTTACGATGAACGCCGCGCTGGCCGTCATCCAGCTAAGAACTCTTATTTAGTTTTACCAGGATGTGGAACGGGGTCGATAATGAATAATACACACTGAAGAATTCAATAATTCTTGTAAACGACACTACTTTGCTAAGATTTTAGCTCGGTTGTGCGTCCACTGCTGTTCACACAGCACATTCATTCTGCTTCGTAGCTCTTATGATAAACTTGTAAATGTTTTGCAGTCATGTTTGAGTTGATTCCATAGAAATATACAAGCCTACGCAAAAAAAGCAATGAAACTACGACCTATGAATTAACCTATAAAAGAGTCAGTGCTACTCCCATGATATTTAAATGTTGTTGGAACAGCTGGTAGCTAGTTCTAGTTAGATTGTAATTGGAACATTGGAATGTTCCAAATACAAACAAGAGTTTGTGTTTGGAACATACCAGTCTATTTACATTTTCCACATTCAGACTTTGACTCTCAGTATAGAGATGAAAGATGCATTGAGAATTTCCTAGATGCATAGAATAGAGGACTTGAAATTTCAAACAAGTCACTACAATTCACTTTTTACTCTAGTGGCGCTCCGAGGTTATCTGAATCAAGAGAGCTTGTCTGAATTAGTATATCGGTCTGTTTTTTGAAAATTACTCATTTGATGCGAAGTTCAGTACATCATGATGTATACTATGTTCAAATATGTGAAATGTTTCGTTGGATATTCTAGTCGGTACTTAAAAAAGGAAGAACTGATGTTGTTGGAGAAATGTCTTCTTGATCGTTCTTTTGAACTGCGCTGGTGGGAACCAACGGCGACATAGCAGAAGTATTCAAGCCCTCACTGATCCCTGACACGAGTATTCAATTTGATTTATCCTGGGGCTCACTGCGTCTGCGCAGAGTGCCGCCTCCCATCTCGTCCACCCTGCTTCCTCCACTCCTTCTAAGAAGCCCATCATATTACGGCGAAAAAGCTTTACGTATTCGTTAAGGGAATAGTATAACGGGCCGTTATAGCGAAGTTTCCGATTCTCCGGATGCCCAGCTAAGAGTAGGCCATGCCAGAAGTTCCACCGTCTGGCTGATTAAGTCGCTAGGT